GAGGTTCAAACGTGTTTCTGACTTCGGCGTCTAAGTGATTTAAATCGAAATATTTCTTTTTTTCATGATTCCATTTTCTATCATATTTCTATTTCACCCTTTTTCATCCTGCTTTTCCTCTGCAGTATAACCTAAGAGAAAACATGGTTAAAGGAGTTGGGAAGCAGCACCACCATGAATCCAGCGTTTTTCGTTTCACCAATAATGGAACAACAGATGGATCTGACCAGGGAAGGATTTCTTTTTCAACTCCTCATATAACAGTGACTAGCAAGACTCAGTAATAGTAGTTAGGAAGAGTTAGTAGTAGTTAGTAAAGTTTGAAATGCTGCTTACAAATATAGAAACCACATTTGCTACGTGACCTCTCACAGCCGAGCTATGAGCGAATACAGTCGCCAACTTCACTGAAAATTTGCCCTCAGAGCCTCTGTAGCATGGATGCCATGCATTTCAGAGCTAAATGGATGTCCTGCTCCCATTTAGTCCTGAGCTGCACTACCCACGGGGCAAGCTTTTAGCAAAATCAACATGCTACTTTTCCTGCTACAAACTTTGAGCGCTCATAACTCGCTTATGAATTTCGGGATATTCTGATTGAATTTCGGGATGATAGATAGCTTTCGTACCTCTAAGCACAGCTTCAAACTCCATTACTGTACCAAGCTCTCATTTTGAAGTTCTACGGCTAGTAGGAACTATATCCTTGTTTTTTTGTGAGCTGTGACACCTTGAGCCTCACATTACCACAGCAATTTTTATTTCCCTAATAACATTGAAATTGCTAGAACAAAGCCTAAATAACGATATCTCAGCGCTGAGCTACTGTTGTGTGTACTGGTTGATGGTGGAGCGCCAGTTGGGCAAGATGTAGGGGTTGATGGTGACGTTGGGCTCACGTAGTCAATTGGAGTACTGTAGTTCGTTCCTCGGAGGAAATTCACGAACAACTGGAGTCCTTCCTTTGGCTTTTCATTCGATGACGTAACAAAATGTCCAGCGCCTCTTACCGTCAGAAAATCCAAACCTAAAATTCCATCTATTCAGTTTAGTTCTGTCAATCAATCAATATTGCTTCTGGAGTAAACCTGCCATGCGTTATCCCTATCGTCTTAACGTGGCGGTGACATTATGGCTATAGGAGAAGAGGAGGTCAATTATATGAGAGAATGGTTGCAGATAACAGGACTGAAGGATACTGAGGCTTGAGGAGAGTGCGGACATAACGCGTAAGCATTGCGCAAGCCTTTGGACCTGGCAAACAACCTCACAGGTCACACTCTAGAAGATTCAAATCACCATCACGAGAACACTCACCGAATAGATGGACTGACTAATGCGACGATTACCTTTCCTCAGGTACCACGTTCTCAGTGGTACCTAGGAAAGTGATTGATTGGTGCCGCTGGTTACAATTCTGTTGAAACTAGTAACGTGGCTCTCGGACTGAACGAACTTTTAAAAAGTTGCACGTTCCAATCCTCCAGGCCCCATATTTACAGTCAGAGAACAGCATCTTTTGTGAAAACACATAGGGATCGTACTTGGCGCTTGGGAGAGGGGCCGTAATCGCGTCGTCGTTTGCTCCATCGCACCCCTCGCCTCGATCAGGCGAAACTTTTGGAACGAAAAACTGGAAATGTGCGGAAACTTCGGAAATCTCGGTAGGAAAGCTTGGGAACCTGCACAACGGTGGTAGGTTAGCTGTGTGGGGAAAGCGTGGTCGTAACTGACATCACCATTTCTCACATCAAGGATGAAGGCGCCCTTGAAGTACATACTTTGTATGAAACAGTGGAGGCGCTATTCGCCGCTTGGGGGGGCGATTTTGCGACTTTTGTACTTCCATAGACGGTGGTCGAAAAAGGCGAGCTGCTAAATTCTTGTGATCACCGACAAATGATACCAGCCAAAGATTGTAGAGGCCTAGAGGCCACTTGTTAACTCCTGTAAAGAGTATCTGTCAATTTTTGTAAAGTAATGAAATGCCGTTGAAATATCATAAACCACAGTAGCTCGACGAGCTTGCTCCAGCTTCACAAGAGTTTACAGGTTTCACCAGAGCGAGTCTTGTAAACCGTAAGTAGTGGAGCAGCGAAACTGCACCCCATTTCGCCCCTCGCCCCCCCACGTCGCGCCGAACTGCTGAAACGGAGATATTGTTCCGAGCGGGCCATAAAAAATGGGTACGTAACCGACCCGAGCTAGTTGATTCTTTTGAGGTCTTCCCTACTGAGAACTCAACTCAGTACGACTCATTTGTCTTTTTCATCTTTTTGTGCACACTTGTGCAAACAGCACAAATCGGCTAAGGGTGGTGGAAGGAAGTCGTCTTCCCTTGAAATCCTTCTGTGACACGAGACCGCGATATCTGTGTCTGCCTCTAAGTACGTGTAAAGGCTCAAATACGTAGGAAACGATAATAAAAATTGCTTATTGTGGAGCCATAATGTATGGTTTTAAGCAGAGCGAACAGGAAAGGTGGGTGAAAGGGACGGCCCGAAGAAGGAATGAGACCCCTTTTTGCACAAAAGAAGTGGTCCGCTCACACCGCGGCTCCTTCCCTTATTCTTAAAGCCAAGCTCCTTATTCTGTTAAGTTCATAGGCGCTTTATTAGGCCTTTCTGCACCACAATTCGCCCAGCATGCGAACAAAAACAACGCGAATTCAACGTGAAATATAACTCGTTCATACCCATACTTTTAAAAAAAACAAACAGCCATTGAGCTTGGTTGAAATACTGAACAAAAAATGACAATATTGGAAGAAGGGTAAAAAAGCAAGAAGCGTTGCCTTGATTACAAGAATTTGTGGGTCTTCACAAAATGAGCGAGCACCTTGAAGGGTGCAAATTGCAGCCGAGAGAAGGGAGCTTATGTAAGCTCTTGTCAAGGTGCTGGGCCATTTAGTGAAGACCTGTAAACTCTTGCCAAGCTACGGAAGGGTAGCAGTTTCATTTCCAGCCATTTCTCCCTGCTTCTTTCTTATGTTGGCGCCATTTGCTGAAGGGTGCAGAAAACCATTAATAAGGAGAGGTTGTTGCATAACCGGGGAGAAAGAGCTCAGTGGCGGCGGACTATTGTTTGAGTATGAAAAATTGTCCCTAGACATTTTCTTCTTGAAACCATGGTGTTTACTGCTTTTTCGAGAGGTTTGTAAGGAAAAGAAGTGTTTGCCGGCGTTTGTGAAACCCCTGGGTAACTCTGCAACCACCACCTCCTTGGAAGACGACCCGCACCTGAGCCAATTCAGAGCAATCAGGGGGCCCTTCCCTTGCCCTAGTGGTCCAATCCATAATCTCAGAGAGTGCCCCACTTTCGCGAGTCACAAAGAGTGACGAGAGCGCTGCTACCGTCTCAGGTTCAGTTATGTACGGTATTTCACACCTCACCCGTCGAGTGCGAGATATGTGGCAGGGCGTGCCTGTAAATACAGGTGCCATTCATTCTGCGTGGGACCATTCTGTGGCCTCTGTCGTCTTCCGGTGCCACCCTCACGCGCAGTCGTAAGCGCACACCACGCCCTTAGAACGTTTTTTTTTTTGAGTAGAGCAGCAGATGCTTGTGAAAAACAATCCATTTAGTAAGGGCATGCTTCTGAGGAGCGCTTCAATTACCTATGAAATCACCAGTGCAGTTTTAGTGGTGCAATTGCTCTTTGAGTTACGGTATTCGCAAATATCCACTTGGGTTTTAAGTTAGCCAATTTATCTTACAATTTTTACTTCTATGTTATTTCCTTTGTTTTTTTTTCCAAGGATTGTAAAGCTCATACTGGTTCAGTAATGCTGATCGAATTTGTCTCATCAACTCGAATTTCACATGCAAGGTACAACAGTACTCCTCTCTCAGCAAAGGCGGAGGGTTGCATATACGAGTTACTTCAAATTGCTGAAGGAAAACGCTACTGCTACTAACATTTCGACACTTACCTTCGTACTGAGTAATGAATCCAATAGTTGGTGGCTTCTGCTGTTGATCAACATAGATGGATTGTGGTGCTAGGAGCTTGAGACCGAGACCTGATGCGAACTGAGCGCCATGAATGGCGTTACACATCGAGTCAACGTCACCGTAGAACAGCGCCACCTCAAAGGCCACAAATAAAACCCTATAGGAACGTTGCGTGACTTCTTAGAGCCGTTACCTTTTTCTTAGCATCGATAACCTTTTTGACGTTGTCATGCTGCGTAATGTAGTGCGTCACAGTCAAATCGTATGTGTTTTCTATGTCTTCACTTAATGAGCATGAGAATGAGCATTAGCTCTTTTGAAATAAAGCTGAAATTTGCTTACTTGCAGCTTTCATACATAGGGACAATGCTGGGAATATTGAGAGCACGGCGCACGTCTGCTCTTTGTAGATAAACCGTCGAATCATTATAATGAGCGCATGCAACTGTTGCCTGAATAAATTGGTTGTTTCAGTAAACTGACTGACTTGATGAGCCTGTACTCCAGCGCCAGGGCCAAAAATATATCGACGCCTAACCCAGCTTGATCTCGAGCCAGCCCTCCACCTTTACACAATCCGGAATTCCATGATTCCTTCCTTACAATCAGTGCACGGCGTATTCCGACGGAAAGGCATGGCTGCAAGTACACGTCCTGCCGCTGAGGGTGGGAGGTGTGAACAGCGACCCTTCTCAAAATTTTCTCCTTTGATGCCCTCTCCCGCTAACTACCTTTTTCTAAAATTTCCCAAGTACCACTCATTCTGAGCCTTTCGGATTTTTTCCTTTCCTATAAAAAGTTTCCTCTTCCCCCTTAAAAAATACCTCGGGCCAGAGGAGGAGGGGGATGAGACAGGGCAACGGACATGAAACAGGAAAGATTGCGAAAAGTCAAAAATCGGATACATTTACTCCAAGGCAAGAACGACCTCCCTCCACTGACCAAATACGACACCCGTCGCTGGGGCATCGTCAACATTACGATGTGCCCTGTATGCATCTATGCAACTGCAATCTTCCAGGTTGTCGAAATGAGAAGCCGGATAAGATGGCATATACCCCAAATTGAAAGCGCTCACTCACGCTCACTGTATGGGCGGAGCCTGACCATGCTTATGATCGGTTCAATCAGTACGTCCTCCTCCCCTGGACCGCGGTAAAGAATAGGGGCACTACCACTAGGGATCTAGATACGATTCTGACTCCAGCCTCTCGGCCAACGTGTACCATACCTCAAACAAAGCAACGGAATTGCGCACCCTGTATATTGAATTTTGGAAATTGTATGAAGCTATCATCACTGTGAAACGGCAATTAAATTGAAGACACAATTCACCTGCCCTCCACTGCCTTATATTTCTCAGAGGCGTAGTTGAAGAACCGTCCAGAGTGTTGATTAGTAGTTGAATCTGGCTCGTCGAGACGGCAAGTGTAGTAGAGGAAGAATGGATCGAGCCCAGTGAAAACATTAGCTTGATTCAGCGTCAACGACTTAAGTATGTAATATTCAAAGGTGAAAATAAAAAAAAAAAAATCAAATTATCTGTAGTTAAACATCATTGTAGCATTTGTTATTTCGATCCAGCGACATCTTGTAGAAATCGCAGCCATACGATGAGTTATTCGGACAACATTTGTCGATAATCGATCGATATTGGCTGCAAATCATTCCGCATAGGCGTAAGACTTCCGTTTAGGAAAGAAAAAGTAGACACAGCCACTTAACTAAGACTCTCTGTTCTGCATGTAGCTGGCTTTGTCATAATTAGAAGAAAACGCCAGAAAGAACGCAGCGAACGCAAAACACTTCGTGTGCGGACCTAGAGACCAGACTAAATCATCAAAAGGGAAATTACGCTGCACGCAAAAATACTGCGAAGGCGCGGAAAATAGATCCGTTATGTAGTCATTTCAGGTTTTTTCAAACTTCAAAAGTCTTCCAGCACCTACGTTCGTGTTTTCGTGGCATCTTTTTGAAAGTCATATCAGGATTATCAAACAGGTAACTTGGCGACGTTATGAGAATTTATAGGGACCATTCAACAGGTTGACCGTGCAAAGCTTATTCAGCGTAGCATTTGGCACACCTCACTAAGCCCAACTGAGCCCCACAAGTCTGCATATTGTAACGCGCGAACCCAATCTGAAGCCTTGACCCTCGCGCTGCCCGCTAACAATAAGCAACAGTTGCCACCTGCTTTCTTGGCAAGACTAGGGAGCATTAGAACTCTCTCTCTCTCTCTCTCTCTCTCTCTCTCTCTCTTTTTCTCATCACACACTTTAGCTGCTAACCTGGAATAGGCACATAGTCACTACGTGAGCGAGACCCGGTCCAACTGAATGATCTCACAATAAGCAAGAGCACGAATTTCAGGTTCTCTTGGACTTTCTGCGTGCTATACCTCACACTTATTCGTCCATGAAGGCTACATGATCATAGTTGTACCCAACAAGAGGAGTTATAAAGCTAAGCCGTTCGTCCCACGCAGCCCGTTGCGATCAGGCAATACACTTAAAAGTATATGTTTACTGCCATGGTAGGTTCGAAAAGGCACGATAGAATATGGCACCTTGAATTGGAGGAAAGCCCTTAAGCAAAAGAGCAGAAAGCATTGGTACATATGTTCCACCGTAAGATTCGCCAGCAACGTAGAAGTCATTTCTTTGACGTTCAGGAAAACTTCTGGAAATTTTTAGCCGATTTTTTGCAACGATTGATACAAAAATGCGATCAGGGAAAGAACTTGAAACCAATTCCGTTCAACGGCCAGAGAGGCTTTATTCATGGGCACACTTCATCGTCAAGTTTGAAGGCATGGGGCTGTCGTATTCAAGTCAACAGAAAAGCCTACTCCAGCTGGTGCGTCCAGATAGATTATGCTAGCTACCTGAAGATTACAAGAGTTCATCTACAAAAAAAAATTTCGGAAGTTTGACCCTTACTCTATTCCATGTCCATTTATTTCAGCATCTATATGTGGCCTCACGAAAATTCTTGGCCTCTGCCAATTCTTTGTATTATAGGCTGAACTTCTCCATAGACCGCAGGACAGGGAAAAAAATGAAGACACTGAATTGGTCACCATCTCAATCAAACAGCCCTTCAAGAGAGGAGCATCCTGGACCACCGTTGAGCCATAAAACGACGGGATCATTGGCTGGGTCGTTCTCCGATTCGATATACCTTAAAAACAGGTTCCGCAACTGCAAATTGTTGGGGTCCAAAGGCACTGCGCGCCTCGAGGGAGCCATTCTGTAGATTGCGCGTCAGCGCCTAAGGATTTGTGCAGTAGGAGGTGGGGGGGGAACGGACGTGGTGTGCTGCTTCTTGCATTCCAATTATCCCACAATTCATTGAGAGGTTCGCCCCCTCGGACCCTTCTCTCTCTCTCAAGGAAAAAAACAATAAGCTCTGCTGGCGGCTGCACGCATAATAAGCGGACTATTCCGACTTTGAAGATCCATAGCGCAGCGGCTCAAAAATGACCTTCATTATGAGTGTTCATGTGGCTAAGTTTTTGCCGAGTAACGTAAGTTCCGTAGGAAAGGCACATGACCACTTAATAAGTTAATGGTCACTGTACAATCCTGCGGCCTACCGTTCTCCTCATCGTGAGCTCCATTTATGAGTACCCCTTCTTTGGCAGTTCCACATTGAGCTTCTATCGAAGTAGGGCACATCAATCGTTGTGGGGAGTTTCCCAAAAAGGGGTTCATCCGGGGTCGTATGTGGTCGAGGGGGGGGGGCGGGGGCATGGAGGTCCTATTTGGTAAGAAATTTTTTCTGATAGCTGGTTTTTCGTTGTTGGACTCCCCTCGCTCGCAAAGCTCGATCATGAAGCCAAAGAGCAAGCCCCCCGTGGAAGGGGGGGGCGTTCAAGCCACCGGAGGGGGTCGTTTGAACTGAACAAAATCGCCAACAAATGAGGAGCCCTGATAATATAAGGTCTTCTGCTTTCCCCTGACATAAGTCTTTTCTGATCGGTGATTTTCAACGCCAGAATTTGCTCAGGTTGTCTTAGTCGCGTACCGTCATCATGAGTGAAGTCAGTCGGGGCGCGCGTCAGCGGGAGCTGTTTTTGGCGCGGCCCAGTCCGGTTTCTCGTAGCGTTGGCGATTCGGGCTTTCGTTGTGTGGAGGCAAAGTGGGTCGGCGCCGCGCCCGAACTCACGTCATGTTTACACGCCCCGACTGACTTTAGTGCTAACGAATGTAGGAATACTAGCTATATCAGGAGATTCACCTAGACATTGTTCCTAGCAGTATCAATGATGGCTTACAATATGTGCTGAAAACGCAGGGCCGGGACTCATCTATCAGCGAAATAGTGCACGTTACATCCTGGAGATGGAGAGGGCGTGGCTGCGTACTTCATTTCACATGACGTAGGATGCCTTTGTCCCGTCGAAAAGCTTTCATTGGGAACAACAAAGTCTTTCTTGCGTGCTCGACAAAGACACGATTATATTCGCCCCAGGTCTAACATCTCACTACACGTGCAGCCACCACACACGTTCAAATGAAGCACGCAGCCACGCCCCTCCCATCATTGGGATATGGAGTATATATGTTCTGGCTGGGGAATACTGGTCACGCTAAGTTCAGTCGTAGACACTACTTAAGTGATCACATTTTGTACAGAACACTGTGACCAGATACCAGTTACGGCTGTGAGCAGAAACAAGCTCGTGGTGGGCATGGAGATTCACTCGCTCTGTTACCCCTACTGCACAAGCTACGCACGCGACACCACTTACAATATCATTTAGCTGGAATTCTGCAAATAGGACCTTCTGACCACCACTTAACAATGCACTGACTCACCAATAGAACAGCTTCCTTGTTTCGCTGATGTTCAGGTAGCCCGTGTACTGCTTGGATCTCATTGGTTCGTCAAGATTTGGTAGATCAGTGATTAACCATGGTGGAGCATCCCAATTAACAGGGATATTCCCAGGTGTTGTACTGGGAGAATTCGTTGTGCTTGGTGCAACATAGGGCGTATCATGGGATACGGGGGTGTCGTAAGATTGATTGTTGATAAAGTTTACGAATACTTGTAATGCTTCTTTTGGTTTCTCATTGCTGGATGCCACAAAATGACCAGCTCCACGTACTGTCAGCACGTCCAGTCCTGGAATGCATTAGCTTTGTTGCGTCGTTTGAAAATCGCCTCAAATAACTGGGAATCCATTACCTTTGTACTGCGTTAATAACCCAATCGTTGGAGGTAACTGCTCTTCGTCAGAATATGGTCGAAGTGGGGTGGTTTCAGGTAGGCCCAAATTGGCAGCGAACTGCGCTCCATGAATTGCATTACAAAGCGTATCCAAATCTCCATAAAACAAAGCAGCCTTGAAAAAAATCACTTATTAAAGCGGTAGTTCAGAAATTTCAAAAAAAATAGAAGCTGATGTAAACTCACAGATTTTCCTGCATTTATGAATCTTTTTGAAATTGTCACTTTGAGAGACAATATGCGAAGCACCCATGTCATAGTTATTACTGATGTTGTTACTATAACAGAAAAATCGACTTCGCGAAAGACGAGAATTGGGGAACCCCAATAGCACTGAGCATAACGCTCAGTATAAAAAATTTTTGAACGGTTCAGTGTGTAAAAAGACAGGAGTAGCCCAACGCATTCGAAGCGCGGCAAAGGCCCCCAAAGAAATGGTACAAGCGGGATCACGTGCACAGTTTTCATCACCCCCGTAACGATCTGATGGGTCAGGCACATCGTTGTTGGGGATTCCCCAACTGGGGAGATCGTATTTGGGCTAAGCAAAAAATTTTTGATAGTTGCTTTTTCTTGTTTCAGGGACGTTGTGAAAGGAGACAAGTCGTATTTCCCTTCTGAGTGAGGTTAAAGAAGAAATTGCTACTTTCGTGTTTTTCCTTTTCAAGTGTGAAATACCCCTCCACCCCGTCGAACGCGCGAATTTTTTGGGGTAAGTGAAAGCAAAGAAATTTTCGGAAATTCCAGAAAAAAGTGGAGTTGGTGAAATCTAATGAATGCTAGAGGGGAGGGCCGTATTCTCCTCGCAGTTTTTCCCGTTTCACTTGTGCTATTTATCCCCCTCCTCGCCCGATAGCTCAATGAGGAGGGAACCAGGGAGGGGGGGAGGTAACCCCTCCCCCCCACCCCCCCCAAAAAAAAGGGGGGGGTCGTACGGACTCGAGCAAAATCCCCAATCAATGATGTGCCCTTGGATGGGTCTGCGCACATCGCTTCCAAGGACAAGCCCGGAAAGCATGCGTGCTACCACCTTGTAAGTGATGCTGCGTTAAGGTCCCTTGCATGTAGAACTTGGAAAAGGCAGTGATTTTTCGCGAAGGGTCACATTGTGGGGAGAAACGCCCCTTGAAACCGTGTATCGCTTTTGGTGGGAAAGGTCGTAGCGCTAACTTGATGCAAAATAACCAGAAGGCGCTGCCGCCAGAATGTCAGTTTGGGTCGGTTCATCAATCTCCATGAAGCCAAGCAGGGCAGAAGAAAATTCGAATTTTTGGGGGTGGCAATATTCAAACAGGTCCACTCCGCTAATGTCGTGCATCGACATCTGTGGACGCCTTTAAAACAGATTCCGCAACTGCAAATTGTGGATTACGGGGTCCAAAGGAACTGCGCCCCTCGAGGGGGGCCCAGCCTGTAATTTCGAGTTAACGCCTAGCGAACTGTTTAGTAGACTGCGAGTTTCTTTCACTCAGGCAAGCAAAAAATTCAACAGCAGTAACAGTTAAAAAAACTGGCGTTCAATGGCTAAGAGCACCCGCGTTTTTAAGTATTCAGCGGCAGGCGCGTGGACCAACATTTCCGAGGGTAGGAGACAGGAAAAGGTGAGTGAGTCATTACGTTGGATCACCAAGAACTTGCGTTATTTTTAGTTTTGTGTTGCCGAACATAGCTGCTGAAGTTGAGCGGAGCGCTACACATATGAAATGACAGCAACGTACTTGCAGGTCTCATATGCGGGTACTGTCTCCATAATTCGCAATGCTGCACGAACATCTTCCCGTTGGAGATAAACGACTGAATCGTTATGATGAGCGCAAGCAGGTTGTAACTGAAAGAAGACGAGTTTTAATTTGATTATTTCTACAATTACAACAACAGCACAGCACATTGCAGGTTTCTGGACTACGCGACACTTTTCGCTCTTGTCGACCGCGTGATCACGAAGTCTGAACGCTGCCTTCTCTTCCTAAACTCATCAGTATGTTATCCACTCCGAGACAGAAATCAGCTGACTGGGAGCGCCAGCAATTATTGATCGGCGAGAGTCCAGACGGAAGAGTGAGCAGATAGTGCGGCGGCGTGTGTTCGAGCGCAGAGTCAATGTTAGAGAGCGCAGAGACAGTGACGATAGTCGCACCGGGCCTCCGCGTTTCTGACACACACAACCGTCGGACCGCTCGCTAGCATGGGGTAGGACCGCCCCGCCGTCGATGAGAACTCCATTGTACCTTCGGGGACGCTCCTGTTAATGTGCCAGGTGAATGGTTCCACATAGGAGTGAAGTACAAGTTTCTCCGCTCAAAAACGCAGGAGGACAGGCCATAAGGGAAGCGATGCTCAGGGTGCCGCCTCGCCCCCACCGGCGCTATTCTCTAGGTATAGCGCTTGCGTCGGTATCAAAACTCCGCATCGTACAGTCAATCAGAGGGAGAGTGTAACCGGAACTGAGAGGGTGCAGATAAGTAGCACGCTACTTCGCTATGGTGTTAGGCATGTAGCTGGCTGTACAGGCAGCACGGGTAGAGTATGGACACGGCACTCGGGTATCGCTATTCTTCAGCAATACCCCATCGTTCCCGTGCATTTTTGATCGGAAAAGCGGCACGCTAGTGCAGTAGCGGACCCGTCTACCACACAAACGGCAAGGAGCAGGATGCATGGAGGTGAGTGTGCACCTCATCCCACAATCTTGGAGCAAGTTGCCCAGGCTGAGTGCGTCCTCCACCCCACTGAAGTCGATCAACTGGTAACGAATCAATTTTGTAGACAGAAAACAGTGTTCCGCTCATTGGCTGGTTCGTGCAAGTTACAGTTTAGACGAATTTGCATTCAAAAGGCACTACGATTTTAGATTATAAAATTAGAGATTACATTCCGAATAAAACCGAATACGTGGCAGCTTCCAACAAGCGATTACTAGCGCCAAGATTTGTCGTTCATCCACTTGTTCTAAGGAAAATAAAAATGTATAAATAAGGAAGGAAGGGAGTGCGCAGGACGCATGTGGAACGGTCGTGCGAAGCGCAAGCCCTGTCATGGTCAAGAGGACAACGAGGTGTTCGATAGCAAGTGGTCAATAGCCAGCGCGAGAAAAATGCCCGAAGGAATGACGAGCGGGTCGATCCACGACTGGGTAGCGGTAGCTAAACAGACGTACTGCTGAGCGGGGCCCCGAATCGCGAAGCCGTAAGGTGCGTTCAAGCGCGGAGATCGTGGGGAACAAACAGAGTAAGAATTGCCTGAGGGGAGTAAAGAGGCGGGAGCAGGACCCCATAAAAGGAGAGGGTCAGAAGAAAGAAACATGCTCATTTTATTGTCGCCCGGTAGGCTTCGTTCACCCGGAACGAAGCTGAAGACTTCGCCTACTCTTCTACCCCCCATCTCGTCTCCCGTGCTACGGCCTAAGTGGCCGTGACTCTGAGTGAGCCTTGAAGGATAATTAACGCTAGGACTCGTTTTGCTCCTTTCAGGAAAAACCTTGGATCTTCGCTTCGACCTTAACCACCTCACTCCGCCGACTCCATCCTGCTACTCTTCTGCTGTTGTAGATCTCTCACATTTTTCGCTATCTCGTTTTTTTTGTTCGTGTTACTAATAAAATATTTGCTATTGACGCTCTCGCTGTCTTTGGCAAAAGGACGTCCAGTTGAACTCGAATCGACTGGGATTGCATGGGGCCGAACCGTTCAACTGAGACGGCCACGGTAGTCAAGGACAGCAAGAGGTCAGTAAGCACTCTGCTGTAGAGTGAAGGGCCAAAGCAGGAAAGCTCGCCCGGAGGCAATTGGTGATTGCGACAACGGTGCCAGGGATGGAAAGTGCCTGCGTACCAATGAGCAGGTAGACATCGTAGTTTAACGCGCTGAGGGAAAAATCTCGCCCACCCGAACAATAATCATTGACTACCGGGGCTTATCGGTCGTGTTTGCCGTAGCATAATGATGGAAGACACTCACATAATGCCACTAATTCCAGAATGAGCTCGAATGGGGAACAACGCATGGACGAGAACGTCCCCCCTCAAGAGGTAAGCAACTTATATGAGTACTGCTCAGGCATGAACGGGAAGAGAGAGTGGGAAGAGGTTGTCCATGTACTTAAGGAAGGGCATCAGAGGAATTGCTATAGTGGGTGAGTCGAAGGCATCCAAACAAGCCAGAACAGGCCTAGAAAGTGAGTGAGTCAAGATGGTGCAGGCAGTAGATAAAATAGGCAAGAGGCGCATCGAGGACTCACCCCCAGTCCGGGGCTCTTTGGAGTGCAGTAGCCGGAACCTAGCCGACGCGGGGGCGATTGGAGTGCAGAGGAGTGGAAAGAATATGAGAAGAGAATGGCTACACATTGTCAAAAGTCCCTACCGGAGGCAGAGCAAGGAGGGCCGCACTTGTTGGTCACGAAGAGGAACGAGGAAAAGTCCCGTTCTGTGTTCCATTTATATCAGACGAACTAAGTGCGGCCATACGTTCTTGTGTAAGGAAGGCTGGTCTTCAAGATGTGGTCAGGATTGTAGATATTCCACCTACAAACCTAAAAGGACAACTAGTTCGTAATCGTCTTTATGACCGCCTTTGTACAACTCCTTCCTGCATCATATGTCCGTTCGGAAAGCAAGGGGACTGCATGACATCGGGGTAGTGTACCTGATCACATGCTGTCTTTGCAAAGAGGAGTATATCGGTGAAACGGGTAGACCTCTTTGTATTCGCGTTAAGGAACACCTAGATGGCATGAAAAAGTCCAAGGTTGCTACTCCTCTAGGAGAGCATAGGGTACGGTGTCATGACAACATGTGTTTTGAGGTGGCCGTCACGATATTATCACGTGAATCCGATATCGCGGCGCGGAGAACCTTAGAGGCCTTCTGGATCATGGCCAAGAACGCCAAGAACTCTAAGATCAATAGGGAGGAAAGAGTGTGTGGCGGTTACCACGGAGCTGGCGCCCTTCGCGAGTCTGTGCGGGTTTTGATCTACGGGGTCGATCCCCCGTGGTCCGTTGCGGCGGGGTCGGGGGTTGGTACAGTAATCAATAGTATGAGGGTAGACGGGTTTTGCAGTGCGGGTGGCCTGGAGTGACCTTTGGAGGAGTTCGATCTACGCGATCGACCCGATCGACCCTCGGAGGTCCCTCAGGAAAGTGACCTGGAGGCCTACCTATTTAAGCCGCTTTACCAGTAGATCGGGGTAACAGGTGGACCTCATTGGTCGACTCCCTAAAGGTTAGTTCTTATTGTTCTCGTGACGTCATCACAGTAGTTTACGACCCCTTTGAACTTTTTCTGTAGGTTGAAATAGTGTTGGATGAGTAGTATCGAAAATGTCTTCTGACTTTCCAGGCTCTGAAGAAGGCGACGACGCCGAAACGTCAGCCGAATAAAGTTTTCATAACAATCTTGGTTGGAGCTAAATCAATATACTGTCAGTACTGAGGAAAGAATATGTTATAACAATGGAGCGGGATGGAGACAATAGCAGCCACAACCTGCGATTTATTTGAAAGTGAGTGCTTTCCAGATTAAAGACTTCGTCGCAAACCTGTGGGAGCATGGGAAGGACAGCAAGCGCGGGTTGGGCTAATAGAGCAGAGTCTGCTAACATGAATGATCAAGGTGATTCCTTGCAGGATCCCTCAAAGGAAGGAGTCCCGAGTGTGGAACGGTCGTGGAAGCGCAAGGCCCTGTAGGGGTCAAGAGGGACCACGAGGTGGATGGTCGATAGCAAGGTGGTCAATACGGCGCGAGAAAAATGCCCGAAGGAAGGAAGGGCGGGTTGATCACGATTGGGGTACGGTAGGCTAAAAGAGTACTGCCTGAGGGAGCCCCGAATCGGCGTAGGGTGGTCAAGACCCGGAGATCGTGGGGGGCAAACAGAGTAAGATTTGCCTGAGGGGAGTAAAGAGGCGGGAGCGGACCCTATAAAAGGAGAGGGTCAGAAGAAAGAACACATGCCTTCGTTCACCCGGAACGAAGCTGAAGACTTCCGCCTACTCTTCTACCCCCCATCTCGTCTCCCGTGCTACGGCCTAAGTGGCCGTGACTCTAAGTGAGCCTTAAGGGGATAATTAAGCCTGGGGACTCGTTGCTCCTTTCGAGGAAAACCTTGGACTCGTCGCTTCGACCTCAACCACCTCACTCCCGCCGACTCCATCCTGCTACTCTTCTGCTGTTGTAGATCTCTCACATTTTTCGCTATCTCGTTTTTTTTGTTCGTGTTACTAATAAAATATTTGGTTATTGACGCTCTCGCTGTCTTTGGCAAAAGGACGTCCAGTTGAACTCGAATCGACTGGGATTGCATAAATAAGGAAGGAATGATGTATTGATTACCTGGGCAAGAATTGATTTCCTTCGAAAATGCGAGCGAAGTGTCACAGTAGCCACTCCAGTGGGAATGGGTGCATCGTTTGAGTCAAGATAGCAGGAATAGTATATGAAGTATGGATCGAGCCCAGTGTAGAAATTGGCCGAGTTCAGATAACTTGCCTAAATAATCAAATTTACGCTCGATCAGGGCAGTGAACAACCACCCTGCTCCAATTTTCAACAAAACAAAATTTTCTTTTCTTCAGCTGACAATAGCTGAAAGTTCTTAATTTTTGAATTATCTTAATAATCTCTTTGAAAAGCAGAGAATCTAATATGACCACCAAGAAACCTACTTCGTTATAACAGAAACCAGTCTCATTCATAGATAGACCATAGAAATTGCAATGTTCTGGAGTATTATTGCAGCATTTTTCTATAGATTGACGATAATACCTACAATTGCTCATTT